CTACGAGTGATCAATGGAAGTAAGAGTTCAAGCTGGAGTTAAACTACGACATTACTACATCAATCAGAATAAAACATTCCTGGATATTGGCAGCCTTTTCCGGAAGAGAAAATTCTATAATTTTATGTGAGAAATATATAAAAATAATAATTGATCAACTAACTTGAGCGTAATATTACGAATTATAGCAAATCACCTATATAAAATATATCAAAGCGTTAATTGAAAGACTTTTCAAAACACAAACTCTTCCGTGTAAAAACTGCCGTGCCTTTTCTAGTTTCCAAATGCAAGATGTCCCAATCTATCATCCTCGTCTTTCACGTACACGGATTCTTCGGGATTAATTTGATTAGAGAATCCTCTGAGATGAAAGAATCGGCGATAAAAACGTCGAGACACTTTGTACAACGACTATATAACTTTTTTCTTTAACGTTCGTTCCACGTGGGGCTTTACCTTGATGGCGGTCTGCATGAGGACCGTGGTGGCATAGTTCACGCCCTTAGTGCCAAGATGCAGCACCGCTGTGTAACCTTGCTCGGTCGCGCGTGCTAGGGCTTCGTCGATCTCAGCTTCACGACGGATCAATGCGGGATGTACGAAGCGCCGGTAAAGTATACTGGAGCCCTTAGTGGCCGGGCTCAGCAGCCACAGCACCAGGATGATTTTAATTTCATAATAAAACGGGAACCTACGTAACAGACGTTTCGAGTTGATATAGAATGTCGCACGTGCCAAAACGTTCGATCTCGTTGATTCTCGAAGCTACCTCGAGATCTTGCACATATATATACATTTTGCATATGCATTTTTCCGATAAAATAAATTGTATTTACGTGTAAAAATATTATAAGCTCTAGTAATAAAAAAATATATATATTTAATATCTATCGCATCAGAGGTATTATTGGTATTCGACAACATTATCTCTTTTTTGTTTAATTGGGATTTCAAGAAACAAAAATTTGTTCCGAAGAGATTTTTTTTTTACATTTTTAAACGTAATCATAATGTAACAACAGAAGAAAAATAGTCGATCGCGGGCAATCGCTGCGCCGTCGTGCGGCCGCGAGCTACTCGATTCGATTCGCGTCGCGAAAAATTCGCCACGGGCGTGAAAGTGAGAGTGGCGTGGAGAAATGCGCACCGGTGCACCGGGAGAGTATCGGACATTTCGACGCCAGAAATAAGCGGGAACTCGTTTCCTTCTTGGTTGTAACCCGAGTATGAAGGGAGATCTGGCGCGCGATGTTCCCCGGAGGACGAGAAGAGAAGAGAGGAAGAGAGGAAGAGAGAGAGAGAGAGAGAGAGAGAGAGAGAGAGAGAG